ATAATTGGCTGAGCGATAGCGAAGCCTGTTACTCCAGTGGGGTTGAAAAGTTTTTCATGTCTGTCTGTCTGTGTGTGTCTGTGTGTCCGCACTACTCCTCCCAAACGGCTCGGCCGATTCTGCTGAGATTTTGCAGGGTCATTGGGCATATCCTTGGCTCGCCACACACCAAAATTCAGCTTTCTATCTCAATCCATTTGGTCATATTAGCCAAAAAACACTTTAAAAACGGCAGGAAAAAACAACTTTTTTGGAACTTTCAATTTTTTGTCAAGTTCAATGTCGTTTTAAATGTTTTGGAGGCTGCTGATGACGAAAATAGAACCCATTCAGACCTCCGACCGAAAGTTTAGCCACATTAGTGTAGATTTTGATGACTAAATGCTCTTTTTGAGGGGATCACGCCCATTTCCACGGTCTGCCAAGGAAGGCAGCCTGCCGAAGGCAGGTTAGCGACGCAGGCCAAGGTAGGTGTATACGCCAGGCGTGGATTGTCGAAACTGGCGCAGCATCGCGAAGCCTGTTACGACAAGACACAGTCTGGCGTACACCTACCTTGTTTTATTCCTGGGGTCGCGAAAACTTTTAGAACCCATTTTGGGGTCGCAGGCTGAAAAAGGTTGGGAACCGCTGAGCTAGAGACAAACGATATCCATACAGAGAGCTCTTAGGATCTCTATCTTAGCTGCAAAACCAGGCCCGACATTTCATTTGTAGTGAGCTATGCAAGCCGATACACTGAAGATCCAACGAAGGCCGACCTGATAAGAGCGAGAAGAACAATTAAATGTCTAAACACAGTGCCAAACTACACTGTTAAAAAAATCCATCTTAATTTTAAGAAACTTTTTTATGAAGCAGTTTACAAAGACTTTTTGCTAGGAAAAGTAATAAACTTTTTCTTCTTAAAAGTAAGAATCAAATTTGAAAAGTAATAATCTGTTTCTTAAAAGTTGTTTTTGCATTTAAGAAGAATTTAATATAGAGCAGGTAAAAATTGAACGCCTTATGTACGTAATGAGTTGTTCATTGTATGGTAGTAGTCGATTTCACTGCCGAAATCGCTTGGAAGCATGGTTCAAACTCGGTCTCGAACCCGGAATTCCGGATTACCGCACCGCGACGCTACCAACTGCGCCACGAGTGAGCTCTGCGAGGCGGGCTCTAGGATGTGGATGACTCCAAGCCTCTCGGCGGAGACTCCGCTAGGCAGTGGAAGCGCTCATCCCAGGGCCTCCAAACACGACTTCACATGACCAAGATCATCCAAATTTGTTCTTTACGTACACTGGTAGTGAAGCGTCCAATGATCACAATTTTAACTGGCAGGATACGAATCAAATATGAAAAGTCATGGTAATTTTGAATTTTAAGAAACAAATTATTGCATTTGGTAAACAGTCTCAAATTTAATGAACCTGTTTTTTAATTTTAATAAAGTTTCTGAAACTTACCAATATTTTCATTACTTGTCAGAAATGTTTTGGTAAATGTAAAAAATTTTCTTAAACTTCACAAACCTTTATGAGATTTTCATATCCTTTCAAAAGGTTATTAAAATTAAGATGTCATTATGTATTAAATTTAAGAATTTTTTTAACAGTGTACGGCATCATGTATGGACGTCATAAGGATATAACAATACAAGCATTCATTGACGCCAACTTTGCCGGGTCTGGCATAGTAGACAAGATGAGAAGCACCACCGGCTGCACCATAATTGGCTGAGCGATAGCGAAGCCTGTTACTCCAGTGGGGTTGAAAAGTTTTTCATGTCTGTCTGTCTGTGTGTGTCTGTGTGTCCGCACTACTCCTCCCAAACGGCTCGGCCGATTCTGCTGAGATTTTGCAGGGTCATTGGGCATATCCTTGGCTCGCCACACACCAAAATTCAGCTTTCTATCTCAATCCATTTGGTCATATTAGCCAAAAAACACTTTAAAAACGGCAGGAAAAAACAACTTTTTTGGAACTTTCAATTTTTTGTCAAGTTCAATGTCGTTTTAAATGTTTTGGAGGCTGCTGATGACGAAAATAGAACCCATTCAAACCTCCGACCGAAAGTTTAGCCCCATTAGTGTAGATTTTGATGACCAAATGCTCTTTTTGAGGGGATCACGCCCATTCCTACAGTCTGCCAAGGAAGGCAGCCTGCCGAAGGCAGGTTAGCGACGCAGGCCAAGGTAGGTGTATACGCCAGGCGTGGATTGTCGAAACTGGCGCAGCATCGCGAAGCCTGTTACGACAAGACACAGTCTGGCGTACACCTACCTTGTGATAAATGGTAGTCCTTTCTCCTGGTGCTCCAGAATCCAGCCAGCCTGTAGTGGCTCTCTCAACCACTGAAGCAGAATACATCTCAGCTGTAGAGTGCTGTAAAGAACTACAGTTCATCAGGGCTCTTCTGCTTGAGCTAACAAACAAGGACATACCTGCAGAAATGTTCGTCGACAATCAGACTGCCATCAAACTAAAATCAGGGCAGCTCAACGGTGACCAAACGGCCGACATCTTCACCTAGCCATTGAAGCACTAAAAATTTTGTACATTCAGAGACGCCATGTGTTGCAAGATTAAGTCAGTCACCATATTGAGTTATTTTTATGTTAAAACAGCTTTGTTGTTAGTCTGCAAACCTACAATAATAGTGATTATTCATGAGTTTATATGTACAGATTAATATAACAGTATGGCATGTGATAAAAGTGTGAGAGAACATTTTTTTGCCATTTACATTTGGCATGTTCACCAACTAACTCCTCGCTTTGTGTTGTAAGCTCCACAGCCTATTTTTATATGTATAAATGTTAAGTTGGCTATACTGCTGCGTGCAGTCACCGCCCTCGCTGATGTTGCCGGGAGGAAGAGGCTGAGAAGGCCGGCCTGGAAGCCACGGAAGAAAGAAGATTTTCTCTCTCTCCCTCCCTATGTTTTCAATTATGTTTGAAATTTTGTGAGAGCGGTACTGGCGCTCGTAGGACTCCCCAGTCTCGTTGTCGTGTACCTTAAATCAATAAATCAATCAATCAATCTCCCTGATGTTGGCACCACACCGGAAGTACACAGCCGAAAGAAATCTGTCTCCCTGTTCCTCCTTAGCTGGATCCAGCAATTTTCTCCATAATACAAGCGAAGTTCGTCAAAATATCTATAAGGTACAGTGAATTCCCGATGAAATGTTATAAAGGCAGCTGCACCATTATGATATGGACAATTTTCACTTTAACATAGAGAGTCTTCACTATGCAACTTTTCGAGTATTCATTTTCGTTTGAAGTTATGAAGCAACTGCATCTCCGGCTTCTTAGAGGGCGCCTGGTGTCTGCAGGTAGTGTCAGAGTGGGGCAGCTTGTTCGATTGATCGTTTGCCTCGGTCGTCCTCTGGTGCCCTTGCATGCTACAGTGGAGGCTACAGCGCGTTGTCTAAGAAATCCGCCTCATGCACCGCAGTGATCTTCGCGTCCAGCCAGACGCGTCACTGGTAAAACCAAAGCGTAATATTACTCTCTGTATTCAAGCGTCATCAATTTACGCTTTGAAATCAAGCGTAACACGCTCATACGCCTAGATTCTCCCTTTTAAAAGCATAGTGAAATTTCCAGAGTATGCTTCATTTCGAGCGTAACGTATTCAAGCGTAACTTAGTGCTTGGCTCAAGCATAGAGTTACGTTTCAGTTATACCAGTGGTCGCACGTGCGGGTCTCTCTCTTGAAGCTTGTTTTTGGCAGTCGGTACCAAAGGTGGCGTTCTCTCTCAGCCCGCGGAGCACTGATCTAGAAGGAAAGAGGAGATTCCGCCTTCGGTCTTCACTTGCTGACGATCAGGTAACGAGAATGGTGAAGAAATCGCCAAGAACGACTTGATTACAAATAGATTGGGAAGCATTTTGTTTGTCATTTAACTTCGTGAGGTAGCTGGTGAAGGTCTTCTTCAGATGACTTCTTCCATTCCGAATATCTCGTTACCTGAGTAAGCTTAATTCTAAAGGTTCCGCTGATTGCAGGAGGTGTTTGAAAGCACACAACGTATGTCCCTTCGATATCAACCGTCGTTAAAATATGATAGCTGTTGCGTAACATGCTGCCCCGTCCGTTATCGCCGTGTAAATAACGAAAGTACTCGTAAATTCTGGAACCAGTAGTGCGCCATTTAACGGCGGTTACTGTTAAATGCCAGAATCTGCCGTAACCCTGATTGGTCACAAGCGTAAGTCTGGACGAAGTTCATAAGTCTCCGCTAGGTAGCGTGCAACTGGTTCCTGCTTGTTGATCACTTTCGCTCTTCAGATGGTGACGACTGAAAGGGTGTATTCGGGTTCCGAAGTGTGAGTGTTGATGCGAGTATAATTCGGTAACATTACGACTTCAGGGTGGAAAAAGTGTGTACACACACTGTACTTGGTATATACTTATGGCCATTTAGGTCGGGGTTAATCTTCTCGGTATATTGAAACCCGTTAATATTATTCGCAACATCATATCAAGAGAACGCACCACACTCCGGTCCTACTCTCATTCCCGCGGTTGCAGGTGCCCGAGTGTTTGGCGAAGTCCTCCGGCGCATAGCTACTGCACCCCGCGTAACAGGCTTCAGGTTTAGGCCATCTGAAGTCCTGGCGTTAGGCCTCACGGTGTTAGCCTCTTGAATTTGGCAAGTTCGTCGGGAAAGCTGCTAGATTACGACTTGGCGTAACATGCCGCTCGTTACCTTTCTCCTCCTGCCCCATTGGGTATTTTAACGAATCCTTGGCCCGGAAGTTAAAGAACTAAAGTAAGAACCAAAACCGCTTCTGCACATGCGCAGACGTTCCTCTCCACTCCGAGGCAGCGTCTGCGCATGCGCAGAAGCGGTCTTTTTTCTTACTTTTGTTCTTTGACTTCCGGGCCAGGGATTCGTTAAATTACCCTGTTGGGTGAGTGTCTCACTTTATCGTCTCTTACACTTCCGCGAGTACTAGAAAGTATTTCTGCTAAACCTCGCATCTGGACTAAACGTAACATCCTGATTTACTTTCGTTGCTCCATAACCTGAGTGCCACTGATCATCGCTCACGCAACGTGGTATCGCCCTGCGCTGATCTCCAAGGCTCTCTGTGAAGCTTTGCCCCTGGAGGCTTAGCAAAACTGGGTTTGGGGTGCTGGTGGATTCCATTAGTACTTAAGCTGACTTTGTTTGAAGTAAGTCTTGATCGCTCTCAGAGAACGTGTTCAAAGGAATTTCCTTACTTCTCAATCTCTTTCTTCACGTTAACCAACTCCCTGCTTCCAGCAGGTTTAGTACAATCTTAACCGTTGCGTGAAACGGAGCTTTCGGAAGTTCTTAACGGTTTTGCAACGCGTTCGCGCTGTTCATAGGGTATTTCAGCGATTCCTTCTACGGGTAGTCAAAGAACTAAGATCTCAAGCTGCTTCTGCGTATGCGCAGAGTTCCCTCCTCCCCTTTGAGGCTCGCATGCACAGTGGTTGTATTAGATCTTAATTCAGTTCTTCGACGGCTGAAATTTCGGGCTTGAACTATCTGAATTGTTCGTAGCATTATTGAATCTGAGTAATTTTTTTTATGTTGGTAAATGTAGGTGTTAAAATTTAGAGTCATTTCCCCTCCTGCGTAACATGCGCAAATGCACGCTGCAGTAGATCCAGCGTAACATGCGCTAGTGCACGCTTCACCAGTTCTTGCGTAACTTGCGCCAATGCACGTTGCACTAGATCCTGCGTAACATGCGCTAGTGCACGCTACACTAGTTCCTGCGTACCATGCTCTAGTGCACGCTCTAGTAGTTCCTGCGTACCATGCGCTTATGCACGTTCCGCTAGGTCCTGCGTTACATGCGCTAATGCGCGCTGTGCTTGCTCCTGCGTTAATGGGGTACTTCGGAGAAGAGCTCGACCGGATGTTGAGAAGAAATCAAGAAGAACAAACGCCGGTCTTGTAACTCTGCGGAAGCGGCAGAACGGCGACGCAGACGCTCATTCGCACAAATTTCACGTACTTTGTTCTTCTTGATTTCTTCGCAACTTCCGGTCCAGCTCTTCTCCGAAGTTCTCTATTGCGTCGCGAATTCTCGCTCCGATAGCTCAAAGCTCTCGCGTGTTCTTCATCTTGCGTCACTTCCGTCGAAAAGTGTCTGAGAACTTAGTGTGCGTGACCATCAATTTTGTGTATTCTCTGTGAACAGTTTCGCCTGACGGTCGCTGAGCTTCTGCAGTAACAACTCACAATGGCGCCGGGAGCTAAGCGAAGAAATGTAAGTGTTCCGCTTTGATTCTGATTGATCTAGAGTAGGTGTGAATTTGTTTCGAACCGAAAGTTGCACCCTATTAACTTTAGAGCATTGTAGTCGTTGCCAATTGACTTTGCACGTGAAACTCGCACGACTTAGTGTTCACGTGGCATGTTCATAATATGCGTCAAAATGCTTGAAAACCTAACCTAACTTTAAACAAATCTGAGCACAACTTGATGATAAACGCTGCTCGCGTTTAAACTAATGAAGCATCCCGTAGGGTGTGACCTCACTTGCTGCACGAGCATTCTAATTATGTGTAGTACTGGTAGTTTAATGTGCTGAAAAATTACAACTTTTCTCAGTGGGGATGGGAAGTTCGTAAAGTGCTGGAATGCGGTGTATCCATTTGCATCCCAGCATTTTCATTCTTCTAGCAGTGTTCTAGCCACGTTCCTTTATATGAGGCAAACTGTCTATGGACAGTTCTGCAGATTATTTTTTTCTTCACTCGAAGGCTGCCCTCGCACGTGTGCACATGTGTTTCTACAATGCAGTTCTCCTTGTGTTCCAGACGAACGAGGCCGGACCTTCTCATGATGGACTCGGCGTGGCCGCCAAGCAGATGCGGCAAGATGCAGTGGACGAACAGAACGCTGACGTCGCGCAGCAGCAAGCCGCTCCTCAGGTAGGTCCGAGCTGAACTTGCGTACTGAGAAAGAAATTAGTGTTCATCAATCAATACCCTATGTTGGGTGAGGTATTTTTTACTACCCAAATTTGCAAGAGGATTTCCTCACATAAATTTACTCTCATTCCAAGTACACTTAACGTTGAAACGAACGTGACAAAATGTCGTGTTCGATTAAGCATAGTGTCACAGTCATTTGAATGTGAACAGGAGTCTTTTGACTACCTTTGACCAAAAAATGGAGGAAATCGGCATCGGTCGTGTTCCACGATCGGACTTCTTAAAAAAAATGCCTCTCAAGCTAATTTTTTACCGATTCACATCCAAACGTATGTGACTCAATGCCCAAAGTTTCAGCTCGAACGTCGTTCCAACGTGATGTCACGTACTTGGAATGAGAGTGTTTCGGTGACAACGTGATTCTCATTCAATTTTGAGCGATAAAGAGTTCACTGCAAACTCAACAGTGTGCTCAGCACATTCTGTTCAGCGTGCCCGCGCGGGAGAATCTGCATTCTGAATTGTACTCAGGAACTGATGTCACACTATGCTTTTAAGTGAATAAGGAGGGTAGTTGTAGTGTGGCTCAATTGTTCTGAAAGTGTTCACAGATGTGCTATTTTGTGTGTAGAATGAAGTATGCATCGGGCATAGTCTAACTGCAGATGACCGGCTGCAGTTCGAGTACGGTTAAAATACAGTTTAAGTACACTTAACTGTACTTGAACTGTGCTCTAACTGCCAAAAAACTAGTAGTTTTTTAGGACCTTTTCAGTTTCAACTGCAGTTTTGCGGACAGTTCACGACAGTTTTGACAAAAATACGGTTTTGCCATAAAAATTCAAAAATTTTGATTTTCAGCTTTATGGTGCCTCCCTCCCTCCCACTCTCTCCCCCTTTTTTTTTTTTTTTTTTTTTAGTCGTTGTTGAAGTTTGTCAGTCAGTAGTCGAACCCGGGCCTCAGGGTTGTCAGACCGCAACGCTGCCAACTGCGCTACGGAGACGTGTGAGGGTCTGGCGCCAGCGCGGGCGATGCCACTGGCCATGCCCGCGCGCTCAGGTAGACGAGGGATTACCGCCGCTCGGCGCGCTCCACTCCACGAGGAATTTTCCCGTCATTTGCCGAGACAAGCTTATCTGGAAGCAGTGCCGAGCTTCACTCGGCGAAATTTAGAACATTAGAATCATTCCAGGCCGTGACGTGAAAGGGCATTCAGGGTGAAGTTGGAAGTACTCTTTGACTTCTACAGCAATAAACTTTAATTGTAGTTTTTGACTGCATTCCCAATTGACCCCGGGAATGCATATGTCATACACTTTTTTTTACTCTCCATGTGTAAGCAAAGAGCAAATTAGAAGTATATTTGTCACGGCATTTGGATTTGGAAATAAGTTGAACTTTGACTGTCGTTTGAACTACATTCTGGACTGCCAAAGCAGACTGCAGTTGGATCTGGCAACAAAAATGCAGTTGAAGGACAGTTTCTGTGCACTTTAAAGCACAAAATTGACTGCAGCCAGCAATACAGAACTGATGGCACTTTAAATGCAGTTTAAGGGCAGAAAAGAACTGCAGAAAGGAACTGCAGATGAGCCACTGCAGTTTCAAATACAGTTTGACTACTGATCCTTTCGCGCGGGTGTACTCGCAAGTACACTCCAACGTGAGTGTACTCAGATGAGTACACTCCATCAAGAGTGACTTAACGTCACTACACTAACGAAAGTGCCGTTGCCGATGTATATCGCTGCGTTTCCTGTTATTTTGATCGGCATAGTCAATTCTTATGACGGAATGTTAATCTCTGACCCGCTTGTGCGCATTGTGTCCGCAGGGCGACGCGGACAAGTGGTCTGCGATGCGGCTGCGGTGCTCCTCCAAGACGATGCGCGACGAGGCCGCGCTGCAAGACTTCCTGGCGACGCTGGCGGAGGCGCCCCAACTCGCGGCGCTGGAGCTGTCGCTGGGCAACAGGCCGGGCACCCGGACGGCCCTGCTTCAGGTAAGCGGAAGTAACTTTGAATTTCAGTGCACTGCCAATCCAAGTGCGGACCAAGTCCACGCTTCCTTGCGTGGTCCAGCCTGGTCCACGCTTCTTTGCGTGGACCACACTTTGGTCCACGCTTTATTGCGTGGACCACAGTTTGGTCCACGCTTCTTTGCGTGGACCACACTTTGGGCCACACTTCCTTGACTGACACAGACTGTGCGGGAAACTGACACGGACCAGACTGTGAAGCGTGGACCAAACCGTGGTCCACGCAAGGAAGTGTGGACCAAACTGTGGTCCACGCAAGGAAACGTGGACCAAACTGGTCCACGCAAGGAAGCGTGGACCATAAATGGTCGACGCAAGGAAGCGTGGACTTGGTCCACACTTGGATTGGCAGTGTGAACAAACATTTGGTTTCCACCTCATCTCTTACGATTTACCTCCAAATTTCCTTGAATCTCGGCATGAAGTTCTCTGTTTCCTGAAGAATTCATGTGAATTTCGCCTAAATTTCGCAAAGTTTCGATTGTCAACTTTTTTTTTTGAATCTTTGAATTGTGACTACACGCTTCAAACCTTACAAAGTATTTTGAGCATACCGTACATAATGCAAACAAGTCTACTTTGTAATTCGAAGAAATAGTTCGTAAGTTACGAAGTATTTTCTTTCTTGGCTTATGTATGCTCAAAAAACTTTACTATAACAAACTGTTTTTCTTTGTATGGCCTGTAATAGTTTGTTAGTTTTTCTCAGTGTAAATTCCTTTCAATTTTTGATCCGCGCGGGAGAATCCGCAGTCTGAATTGTACCCAGGAACTGATGTCAGATTATGCTTAGAAGTGGATAAGCAGGGTAGTTGTAGTGTGGCTCAATTGTTCTTGAAGTGTTCACAAATGTGCTATTTTTGTGTGAAGAATGAAGTATGCATCGGCCACAGTCAAACTGCAGATGATCGGCTGCAGTTCGAGTGCGGTTAACTTCGAAAACTTTCCAAGGCTTCCGATGAATTTAGGTTTACTAATTTGTTGGAGTTGTGCCCCGTTGTTAAAGGTGCTCGTTGCGCTCCACACGGCCACGCCCAGAATCAAGGAGCTTGTCTTGACCTTCGGCGAGGCCAGCCTGGACAGCGTGATCGCGCTGCTGGGCCGCGTGAGGGGCCACCTGGAGAAGCTGGTCGTGTCCGCGCCCTACCAGCACGCCGCGTACGACGCCCCGGGCGCCCTGCAGCGCTTCTGGACCGCGCTGGAGGAAACCGGCCTCACGACGCTCGAGCTCCCCGGATACTGCCTGAACGTGAGTGGAGGGGAACTAATTGAGAAAGTGCACGGTAGAACTATCCCCTGGCATTTCCAGGAATATCGGTCATTTCACTGGAAATTCTCATGGGATTCTCAGGAGTATTGGGTTATTCTCAGGAGACGGTTTATAAGCGTCTGGTGGGATTGTGTGTGTGCTTGTCTCTTTTCGAGCGAGAGTACAGTATCAGTTCTATTGTGACAAGATGTTACTGATTTTTGTACAGTTAAAGTTATTCATTTAATTCCATGCATAAAAGCTGCGTATTTTCTCCCAACCTCTGCTAAAATGCGTTTAAATTTTTACGAAAAGTTCGTTTGCTCACGAAGTAACTCTTGGACTCTTTCATAACTGATCCATGAGGCGGAAGAATGGGGTAACTCAATTTTCTTCATTTTTCAGGAGAAATTATAAACTGATTGCAGGGTAAACTGAATCCAATCAGATGAATGATGCAATTGCATTTTTGTCCAAAAAGTCTAAGAAATAACTATGAAAATTTTCTACAGTGTAGCATTACTCTGCAGACGGTTTCTGTGATTTAATTCTTAACGCTGGAATGGACTACAGAACCATGTTTACTAAGTTTTCCTGAAGTGGAACTTTTTAAGTGGAGCTGAGGTCTGTGTAGAGTCTGTATTTCTGTGGTACATTTTTGGAGTTACCTCTTTTTTGCAACTAGTGATGAGGAGTCAAGTTGAGTTGATTCTTTTCACATAAGATTCAGAAAGACACAAGTTGAGTTATCTCCTTTTGCCATTTTGTTCAATGGAGTTCTGTGGACTTCGGTTGAGTTACCTCCATTTCCCGATGCAATTGAGACCCTGAAAGGGGTCAAGATGAGTTATATCCATTTTTCATGTGGATTTTCTCTTCAACTGTTAGGAGTAGGGTCAAACAATTTCGTGTAATGATGCAACCCATCCTGAGGCACAATTATAAGAAAATTTCAATTTGGAGATAGGTCGAATTATTTCCTTCTTCCGCTTCCTGGATCAACTGTGTTAGAGAGATTGTTTGATTTATTCTTTAAGAGGGATAGTTAATTGTGTGACAGGCGGAGTGAGAGGTGTGCATGTGATTCGAGGAACTTCACGTGAATAACTCCGCTAGTTGCATCGTCGTTTTTCACGGACCTTCGACGGGAGGTTCTTCACTGGTAAAACTAAAGCGTAGTGTTACCCTCTGTCGTCAAGCATAGTTAGTTTACGCTTGACGCTTGAAATCAAGCGTAACAGGCTCATCCACCAATAATCTCCCTGTCTTAATGCATGGGGAAATTTTAGTCTATGCTTCATTTTAAGGACTGGTAGAACTCAAGCGTTCTTTTACGCCTTTCCGCAAGCGTAGTAGAACTACGCTCGGCTTCAAGCGTAGTTCTCCATTTCGCCCCTCTCCCGCATATCTAAATGCATGGGAGAATTTCTTCTCTACGCTTGACATCAAGCGTAAAGTCTGCAACCGGAGTTGTGTGCTTGAAAGAAGCATACAACTACGCTTGAGTTATACCAGAGAGCGTAACGTCTCAAGCGTAACATTATGCTTGACTCAAGCATAGAGTTACGCTTTAGTTTTACCAGTGTTCGTACCACGAATGTAGTAATCTGTTCATTAGCGTACCGACCCCTCTTGATGGAACCATCGTAATTCGCCCCGGCGCAGGGAGAACGTCTAAGCTCACCGTGTGCTGGGAAACCATCTTTACACACTAAATGTCATGGGACTTTTTTTGTCCCACGATTTATGCAATTTTAAGCACATCCGACGCTGATACAATTTTGTTGCCGTCTGGAGACACATTTTGTCCGACGCCTGCTGCAAATTGAACTTTCACAAGACAATTTGTCCCGCCTGGCTGACACAAAATTGCATCACCACCGGATGTGCTTAAAATTGCATCATTCATGGGACAAAAAAAGTCCCATGACATTTAGTGTGTACCCACGAAGTTAAGATGCCCTCTCAGCCCCTTGCGAGGAAGGGCGGTGGTCTGTAGCGCTCGGGCGAGTAGGGATGGTTTCTCAAGCTTTATGAATGAATGGTAAAAATAACTTTTGTTCTAACGAACTGCTTTGCTTTGTTAGGCTTTGAAATAGTTTGTAAGGTTCACTAGTAAAACTAGAGCGTAGTTGTATGCTTCATTCAAGCATACAACTATGCTTGAAGACTTCACGTTTGAAGTCAAGCATACAGAAGAAATTTTCCGATGCATTTGGATAGGCGGGAAAGAGGCGAAATGGAGAACTACGCTTGATAAGCCGAGCGTGGTTCTACTACGCATGAAGAAAGGCGTAAAAGTACGCTTGAGTTGCACCAGTGTTTTCTCAGTGTTTAAAACGCCCTGCCTTACCGCTCGTCTGCTCTTGCTTCAGTTGCAGGGCTCCACGAAGGTGAAGCTGGTGCCCGCCAAGTGGCGCCTCCAGAGCCTGTCGGTGACGTTCGGGCCGCCGTGCACCAAGCGGACCCTGCTGCCCGCGCTGATCCGGGCCAACGCCAAGTCCCTGCGCAAGGCGAAGGTGGGCGGCGTCTCGATGCACCCGACCGACCTGGCGGCCGCGTTCACCGCCCTGGCCGCGTGCAAGGGACTCGTCGACGCCACGGTGCCCTGCTGCAAGAGCGTCGCCGTGCTGGAGGGCTGCGCCGAGCTCACCAAGATCGACTTCACCGCCGCCCACCTCCTCATGGCGGGCACGGCCGGCGAGGACGTGAGGGCCGTCGCCAAGGTTGGTACCGCCGCGATGCTTGAGACACACTGTGAAAATTTGTGGTCAGTTTGTCCATATCGTGATAGATAATCTCATCACTTTCAAATGGTGACAACCTCACCACAAATTTATGATATTTTCACCCAAGCTCCCATACTTATTGCATGGGCGTGACAACCATGTTATCAATTGTTTTAAAGACTTCGTTGTAAGGAAAAGAAGCCTTGACATTATCATGAAGTGACGACTCAAATTTTCACAGTGCTTACGCAGTTCTTGTAAGTTACGTAAGTTATGCTGCGCTTGCATAAGCTTCTGAATAATGTGCTCATCAACGCTTAATGTGTAGGTTGTTGTGCATAAGGAGAAGCGTATGCATGGTGTCAGGTAGTGCGTAACTTACGTACGTGAAGGGTACATGGTTTTAGTTTGTACCAGCCTGACTCGACTTGAGCCAAACGATATTGCTTTGTCAGTCGACTTCAGTACACTTCAAACCTGACTGCTAACTAAGTAGACACTGCATGCTAAGTCCCGTAACTCAATGCTGTGTATTGTTAACTTAATGCTAATTTGTAAGTGTGTACTATGTAGACAGGCAGGTTCGTGTCCGTCGTGTATGTATGTAAAGATTCGTTTGAACTGCACTCTTATCCTGTTAGTTATTCATTGACGGCTCTCCGCATTAATTAAATTCCGTTACGAGGCTCATCATATCAGGAAAAGGAAATTGACGTTTACTAATCATCAATTTCGTTTTGACCAACGATTGATGCGCGTAATCGACAATACGATATTGAAATAAAACACAGTACGAGTGTGACAATTAATTGGTGTTCTTTTTCTCCGTCCTCAAGGTGCTGGCCAAGCCGGCCGTCGCGGAGCGCGTGGACGACCTGACGCTCACGTTCTTCAAGTTCGGCGTGACCAAGCAGTTGGCGCAGGGCCTGTACAAGTCAGTCCGCGGCATGCGCAAGCTCAAGACCCTGTCCGTGGCCTTCTGCACCGGCTTCCCCTCGGCGTTCAAGAACATCCTCAAGAGCCAGCCGCTGCTCGAGCACCTGCACCTGGACGACGGCGACGAGCCGGCCTGGCAGCCCCGCGTGCTGGCGGACATCACCCCCGCCAACGCCCCCTGCCTCAAGTCCGTGCGGCTGCACCCGGGGCTGCTCAGCGAGCAGGGCAAGCTGCAGGACGCGGCGCGCGCCATCGAGCAGCGCTTCGCCGCGGCGGGCCGCCCCGTGGAGGTGGTGCTCGGCAAGCGCAACGTCGACAGGCCGGACGATTCCTCGGACGAGGAGGACGACGACGAAGAAGGCGCGGCACCCAACCCAGGATGTGCCATCGCGTAGAGATCAAAGTCCGGGACCGTCGGACCGTCACTGCTGATGAGCTTCGCAGTGTGAAGAATAGCCCACAGACTGGCCACAGATGAATGATGTGTGACTTAACCGTGATCTCTTACAGTGTCCGTTTGCTGTGGAAGTTTTTAATTTGCTTTATTTTTATGTCGTGTCGACTGCCTTTCACTTGAAATGGTTACGTATCCGTCGGTCAATCTTTCTAGTTTTCTATTTTATTGTGCGATTCTCTTTACGGTAGATCATGGAGTACTCGTTGAATCCTTCAGTCACCTTGACATGTGTTGTATTTTTAAATTTTTGACTGCCAGTCTCTGAATTGTGACTTCGTGCTTCATAGCTATTAAGGTAGTCGCAAGTCAGTAGTGACCCTTTTCTAATTATAAATTCTGTATACGACTGTGGCTATTATGGTGTGAATAATAATTGATCAATTTCATCTATATCAAGTTGTTCGATTTTATTTCATTGATCTCATTAACTTTCAGTTTGAACATGAAGGTGTATTCAAAGTCTCGAGCCTAAGTAAAAGCTGCAAGTCATTTAGTTTTTTACTATCCTGAGGTTTTAAGCCTTTTTATAGTGTATTGTGCTGTGTGAGGCATTATGCGCCTGCAGTCACCTCCAGTCTCCAGCCTTCACATCCGAGATTGTGACCAATCTTAGGTAAAATTGAAGGTCAAATTGCATTTTTGATATTTTCTTTTCCTTTTTGGCTGGCTTACTAGGGGCTCAAACTTAAAATATTTATCAGAAGAATAGTAACACTAAGTGCTAAGGCTGAGTCGATAACTAACAACTTAACTGATATTCAAAGAGTCCAATATCTCAGTAATTTTTAGGACGATAGTACAAAAAGAATGAGAAGAATGGTCATTCACAAATGTATCACCCTTAAGTGTCTCGTACTCAAATATATAATCGAATAAAGGGCGATAACACGACTTATCGATAAAGAAAGGTCAGACATCAGTGAGACTGGCCCTTGATTTCCTGGGCGTGATATTGCCCTTCGACGGTTGATACTCAAAAGTGTATCGGTGATACAACAAAGTTTGACGCTTTCTCGTTAATTTTCAGTGTAGGTCCAAACCTAACACCTCGACTCCAAACCGTCATGTGCACACTCTCAGCCTTTTACTGACTATTTCTCATTAGCACACTGAGAATCCAAACGCTATGAGTAGGCCTATAGCGTTCCTAACGCTATGAGTATAACGTCTATTGGTGCGATGCAAAAGCGTCGCACATGAAGTGCAATGCCTCCCCTTCCCCATGCATTAGCATAGGGCACTTTCGGGATGCATCGCACCTAAGGTGCAATATGGCTATCGTATTGCACGTACGGTGCGATATCTCAGCTGCATTGCACCATACGTGCTATACTTGTAGCGTTTGGAATCTCAGTGCAGACGCATTTCTGTAAGCAACCATATACTTAGTATTTTTTGTATGTGCCACTTAGCAATTGCTTATTACTGTACTGATATAACCGTTTTCTAAGTAAATCAAAAAGACATTTTTAAGTATTTAAGAACGGAATACTAAGTATTATGGTAGCTTACAGAAATGCGTCTGCTAATGAGAAATAGTAAACGGCTGAGAGTGGAATGCGGGGAAAGCGTGGAAAGCTTCATCAAAGTGTTCTTTGTGCCCTTCAAAAGTTTTTGAGAGCTGGTTCCAAGGGCGGATCCAGGGACGGGTTCAGGGGGGGCGATGTCGCGATAGTTGCCTACCTGCAGGGGTAATGTGCGACTTTTGTCCCCCCCCCCCTGGATCCGCGCCTGGCTGATTCTCTATGATATGGAGAAAATTCTAGCTGACTTCATAGCCCACCATTGAGAATTCACCATTCCTCACAGATATTTTGTCGAATTTCGTGTGCAGTAAATCTCTACCATAATATGGTGGTGCAACCTTTTGCCGTAAGACATTTAGAGTGTGTGACGCTGGGCTCGGCCCGGCGCTGCGTGCGGGGAAGGGACGAGGAAGAGGCAGTCCTCCCGGCAGTAGGACGATAACATAATATCCCATTAACCTCCAAGGTCAAGTCCGTGTCGCCAGGCGGGGAGGCCACGCGAGAGAGGACGAATGGTACGCAGGGCGTGCTCTGCAAACTCAAGTGTTTGCCAGGCATGCACTTCTTGGTGCATGCCTGCAGGCACACACTTCTTTTCTGCATGCCTGGCAGGCACACACTTCTTTGCCGCATGCCTCAGGCACACACTTGCCGTCGCTAATGCATGCATACACTTGCCGTCGCTAATGCATGCATACAAGCAAGTGTGTGCCTGAGGCATGCAGAAAAGAAGTGTGTGCCTGCCAGGCATGCAGAAAAGAAGTGTATGCCACACACTTGAGTTTGCAGAGTGGTAACTTAACAATTTTTGAGTTTTTGGGTGCCTGTGTCTCGTAAACGGTTAGAGATTCAAAAGTTATGCTTAGGATAACTTAAAATAAAAATTGAATTTGAGTTATCTTGTGCAGAACTTTTTTTATCTCTAGACGTTCACGAGATAAAATTTCAAATATCGCTAAAGAAAAATTATGATTTTGAAGATGATACGGCGTATTTACGTCAGGTACGGCCATGATACGGATTTAGTTAAGTGCAGCTTTTTGCCGCGTATCCGTACTTCTATCTTCCGTTAATTTTCCGGACAAAAATGTCCGTTTTTTTACAGTGATCTTACCTTGGGAACTACTGGAGTGAAAAATGGGTCCCACTGCTCCCACCTCATCAGCCCCGCCTCTCTGCCCGGCCGGTCCACGGCAAGACCGCTTTGCTAAGAACTTTTTTTGGCGATACAATTGAGTATTGCCAATAAACGGCCTTACGGAAAAGTATTGCCTTCAAAACGGCGATACACAAAAGTGTCGCCAAAATTTGGCGATACTTTGGAGTATTGCCACAATTTGGCAATAAACTTTGAACAAATCAAGGGGACAAGTTCTTAGTTTAATGCCACAATTTTGGCAATACCCGAAAGTATCGCCCTATTTTGGCCTGAGTATTGCCGTTCTGAAGGCAAGATTTTTCGGTAAGGCCGTTTGTTGGCGATACTATGTAGTATCACCAAAAATTGTACTTAAGTATCGCCCTTGCATTTGCAGTGGTCCGACTTTTTGTCTTGCCGTGGCGAGCAGTCTGACCTTTTGATTCTCAGTGATAGCACCGACAGCGGGGCACGCGGCCCCCGGCGCGTCATACAGTCTGCCAGTCTCTTGCGGAGCTGGCGCCCTGCGCAGTGCGTGGCAGTGTGTCATCGGACGCCACGTAAGGCGGTCATGGTCGTCCTCGCGCTGGCGGCTGTGTTGGCTGTGGCGGCTGTGATAGTGTATTGGAGCTGGCGGCACGGCCCCGAACATGACCTTTCGGGCAAGGTGGTGCTGGTAAGAAAGGCGTGGAGTGTTATCCACTGATATTTCTAATGTGATAAGTTGCATACAATCAGCAGCGATAAAAAAAAGGCTACTGACAGTAGTGGTTCATTCAAATCATCGCATCCGTGGCTGCAATAATTTATTCATAGCTCGTCAAGGGTAATTGAATTTAGCATCTTTTGAGACCCCAGGCGTTTAATGTTGTGTGCAACTTTATACGAGACATCGCAGCTTTTTGAGCACACGAACTTTTCGCACATTTTTTTTGTGCGAAAAACTGTACTTATTTCTCCATTTTTGTGAAAAATCGCGTTCAAATTTGCACGAAAAGTTCGTGTGCGCACACCAAAACTGTTAAGTCTCGTACTAAATTGGTACAAAAACATTTAGTGTGTACAGCACAGCGATTCTCGCTGTGGTTTGGTTATCACTAGTGCCGCGCTCCGCTGAGGCGCCCAGCCCAAACAAACGAGTCCTTCTAACATTTGCATGCGCAGTGGATATCAAGATCAAGATAGCCGTAGCCTCTCCCACCAAATGTTTTGTACAATTGTGAACGAGACGTCACATATTTTTGTTGAGCTCAACTTTCGTACAAATTTCGTATGAAATACACATATTATGTACAGAAAAAAACATTTTTTTCACTATCTCCTTTTGATAAGCACCTCTTGCAACGCTTTTTTAACATGGAACCACAAAACACATTTTTTCGGGAACAAAGTCGCCTCCAGGTTCCGTTCTTATCAGAGCTCTAGGAGACTTCGTTCCCGAAAAAATGTTTTGTGGCACCATGCTAAAAGTGTGTTACAAGAGGTGCCATTCAAAATGGGATAGGGCCGAACCCGACCTCGTAAGAGCCTCGTGCGACATGGCATCCGAAAGAGCGCACTTTTTTGAGTACCTGAGACCCATTTGGGTGCTTTTTTTGGGTCTCGGTTAGCGAGAACCCATCTACTCACAAACCCTCGAAAACAGCCATTTTTAGGGTGTTCAGACCCGTACGAAAACCATAGGGGGTGTCGGATTTCGTCCAAGTGTCTTTTCTGCAGTTCGCATGCATACAAGGAACCGATAAAACACTAAAAAGTGCCCGCTTCTAGGATGCCGCCGGCCAAGTGTTTTTTTTTTTGGTCTGGAGCTTCTCTATTTTCTTTTCTCTGGCAACCAAACAATTACTGTCTTAAGTCTTAAATAACGTCTTTGGGCATCCAAAGCCACGATTTGACCGCTTTTCATTGAAATCCGAGACCTTGATTTCAGGAGCCATGTGGCCTAGACTGCACATATTAAGGGAGAGTGGGGTAATTCCGGACGCTTTTTTTCTTTTTGGTCTTTGAGCTTGAATATGCTTCTTGGGTCAAATGTTACTACAGGAGAGTAAAGTATGGACCTTTACCTTCAAAATGATATACATGAAAGCCAAATCTCAGCAACGGTTAGGGAGATATAGGCGCCCAACAAAAGCCCTGCAAGTGTCCGGAATTGCCCCAGGCTGGGGTAATTCCGGACGACCTATGGGGCAATTCCGGACGACCTTAATATTTGACACCACTCGAGCTTACTTTCGCTTGTTTTGATGTGAGGCATGATTTCAGAAGGCGCACAAGGACATTTGCTGCGAACTGAAGTGTTTGATTTATTACTCAAAGCATATTATAAGAAATAGTTTCTATCAAAACCCCTAAATTGACAACACTGTCTTGAGTAATGCTCTTAAACATAGCTGCTATGCTATTTTTCGTTCTTTCTTTATCCTTCTAAACGGTGGGGATGCATGTCCACAGTTTTAAACCCACTACCTTAACATTATGCGGGAAATTGAAGAAAATAACCCCTCTTGTCCGGATTTACCCCACAGGTAGTGAAAACCTTTGATGTTCAATTGTAAGAAAACGGCGAGCCATACGAGCAATCCCGAAAGGTCAAAGTAAAGTCCAATGACCATATAATATGATAAAATTTTAGTCATGGGACTGAACTTGACGGTAAGGTACGATAAGTACATGGAAATACGAGGGAAAGATGCAGCTTTTGCCTATTTTTGATGGTACTCAAATTTCGTGAAGCGACCACAGCCAAACGGTTTGACCTCCTACCTTGGCGATTTGGAATTATCATTTTTAACTGATTATCTTCCTCTGTTACGCGGGCTTTTGAGTTATCTTAACTCAAACCCAGTGAAAATCGAAGTGTCCGGAATTACCCCGTGTCCGGAATTACCCCACTCTCCCTTATCCTGCTACTCTTCGAACTCCTACAATGTCTAGCACTTTAAACACTGCTGGTTGCACTTGAACTGTGTGAGTTGGATTAGTATGCGAACTTGGTATTTCGACATGGGTAATGACGGCATTAAAGGCTTTACTATAGCTTTTTATTCAAAAGAGTAGTCATGATAATACAAAGCAACTTTTAAAGTCTCCACATGCCGTATAGGCAAGCAACACACCATTTAGACCATGCAACCCTATGTAACAGATCTTAAGCTAATCTGAAGATGACGTAGTTAAATTAACAAGAATCAACGGAAGCGTGTGGTGCACATGCGCATGAGTACGAAGACGGCATGTGATCAGGAACTATAAGCGCGTATTGAAATCGGAAAAGGATCATAATTCAACATTGATCTAAAAGCAAATCTATCCTAAAATAACTCGTAAAAAGAAGAATGCTCAGGACAGCTTCTAGAGCGCATCCAAAACGACCGACGTCTTCATAGAACTATTAACTTGCAAAAGATAACTCTGATACTCCATCGTCAACACTACCACGAGTACCACAAGTACGGTCTCTAAAGTCTTTAAGAAGCATCTGCAAGCATAATGACAACATGCTCAATGTCAGTAGTCAGATTGTTCTGCTTAAAAGAGTTCACTTCAGTAACGTCCAGCGTGCACTCCAATTAGATTGCTATGAACCTGTACAAAGCGAAAGATTTACACAGAGGAGATCGCTTCCTTCATTGTTTAAATAGTGATAAAATAAAACGTTTCACGCCGAAAGTGCATTTTAACCGCTCAATTTGATCTACAACTCATCGAAAAAATAAGACTCATATGGGCATCTACTTTCAGCGTTCCTCCGTGTGGGTTCGCAGATGCATTCTGAGGTGGCCACCTCGGCTGAACTTCTTGTTGCAAAGTGTGCACTCAAAGGGCTTCTCTCCTGTATGGGTCCGGAGGTGCCTTCTGAGGTTGCTTCCATTGCTGAACTTCTTGTTGCAAACTGTGCACTCAAAGGGCCTCTCTCCTGTGTGGATCAGGATATGTTTTCTGAGATTGCCACTTTGGCTGAACTTCTTGTTGCAAACGGTGCACTCAAAGGGCTTCTCTCCCGTGTGGGTCCGGAGGTGCGTTCTGAGGTGGCCACCTAGGCTGAACTTCTTGTTGCAAACTGTGCACTCAAAAGGCTTCTCTCCTGTGTGAGTCCGGAGGTGCGTTCTGAGGTGGCCACCTTCGCTGAACTTCGTGTAGCAAACTGCACATTCAAAGGGCTTCTCTCCTGTGTGGGTCCGGAAGTGCGTTCTGAGGTGACCGACTTCGCTGAACTTCTTGTTACAAACTGCGCACTCAAAGGGCTTTTCTCCTGTGTGGGTCCGGAGGTGAGCAGCCAGTTTGGACCCGGACACATTCTTCTTACCGCATACTGGACACTCGTGGCTCATTTTCAGTTTCGAATTGGGGAATTCCTGAAAAATAAAATTACATTTGTTACTTCAGTAGAAAAAGGTATGTTTATACACACTGAAGCGTCCAGAAACGCAATAACAACCAATGAACAAAGTTCAATGATTAAAGTTCAACGTCTCGGTTCATTTCTGGGGGCTGGCTTGAGTGATTGTCAAAACAAAGGTAGCCTGTGAATCCTCCGGCTCTTAAATCGTTACTTTTAAACATTTTGGAACATGGTCTGGTTTAACACTGTTAAAAAAATTCTGAAAATTCAGACCGAAAGTGTCAGACTTGTCTGTCTGAATCTCGTTTTCAGACTGGAGTCCGAATATTTGGACCGCAGGTCTAAAAATACGGACCTTGTGGTCTGAAAAAAATTTCAGACGCGGTGGTCTGAAAATTCAGAATTGGCAAGGTTTAATTATTTGCCCCGCGAGTCTGAAAGTAGAATTCAGCGCCCGGTCTTAATTTTCTGCCCGACTCGTCTGACTCCCACCCTCTTTCTCTACATACGCTGCCTTAATCGGACTGCCCCGAAGGTAGCACCTTGAGCCCCAGAGAAGCTCTCTTTATAGTGCTCTGGGAGCACCTTGACCAGCTAAGGTAGTAGGCCCGAAAGCGATCTAGTTTGTCTCGGACTTGTTCGGCTGAGTCCGTTCGGCACCGAGCAGCGCCGAGCACCGAGCCGAGCCCAGTGCAGCGGCCTCAGGACTGTCTCCGCCGGTGCATTCTCGGAAAGTCCGGCGAGGCAGGGCCGGCTGGAGGCGCCCTCTGATTGGCTCAGGAAGGAGGGGAGCGTTAATCCGTCGGCAACTCGGAAAGTTTTGGCCGACCCGGCGCCCTGCACGCAAAACGTCAGTCTCCAGCAGTCTTCCAAGGTGCACACATCGCGTTTTACTTGCGTCAGGTCCACTCGCTCGGCGCGCTGAAGTAATGTCGACGGGAAGAAGTGCATTTTAGTTCGAAGTGTTATCTGCTGATGACCCTTGTTGACGCTGCAGTGGCTCTGCTCGCTGTACGCATCTCCCGAAACTGAAGGGGCGGGCGGTGAGAGGGCGAGAGGTGTTCTAAGTTATTCGCCTCTCCCCGTTCACACTCGTCCCCAAAGTGCCTTCATCGGGTATTAGTTCAAACTTCTGGTTGGACGAATCTGATACGTTCACTTCGTGTGCACCGGTGCGTGTTGGATGTGTGCTTGCCACAGTGAGTTAATTGTTACAACCAAAGTTTAAGTTGATTTTGCGATCATAAGCAAAGAAATTTATGGTTATGACGACTAAAGTGACCAAAGTGACTTCATAACTTTTTTTTAAAATACTTGTCCAGATATCTCAATTCCTAGAGTAAAGTTCCTTTCAATTGCATTAACTCATGCACTAAGAGTTGTACACCACCTTATAATAGTTTCTGAGTTATGGATGTTTACGTTAACTCTTAGTCCTTTCTCTCAAATTCTCCTCACGACAAAGGATTAGCTACAGTCTTCATATTCTTGTAACTACATCTATTTTTGCAAAGGAAATAGATGGTGTTGCTTTTTTTAAAAAATATCTCCCTTAGTTCTCCTGAAAAACCAAAAACCAATAATGAAGCAAAATCTTTTAAATTTGAAGAAAAATAAAAGTAGGCATGGTAAGTTAGCTTTTACAGCCTCTTCTGGACTTTTATTTTCAAATTTGACAACACTATCTTTTTCATATGCAAAAATAGATATAGCTGCCAGAATCTGAAGACTGGGTAGCTAATCCTTTGTCGTGAGCAGAATTTGGAGGAAACGACTAAAAGTTTACGTAAACATCCATAACTCAGGAACTAATTTGAGTTGAAGTCCCCAACTTCAATAAATTTATCTAATAGTGGTGGAATTTTGACCACAAAATGAACTTCCTGTGACAAATATTTCTAGGACATGCAAGTGTTACTTGACAGTATCCTTAAGGTTACAAAATTGACTTTTACTAGCCGCAGCAATTTTCATCCTTCTTAAAGCATTGGTTGGATCAACTTTTATATAATACCTTGCCCGCACTGCGCACAAAGAGGGAGGCGAAGGGTATGGGAGTGAACTGCTGAAAGCAAATTCAGACCAGGAAGCCCTTTTTTAAGAAATAAGACATCTCAATTTTAAGCTCACCAAATTCCTAAATTTCAGAGTCCAGCGGTCTTAATACCAAATCAGACTTGAGGTCTTAATACATATTCAGACTAGTGGTCTGAATTCACAGGTCTGAATTTTCAGTCCGCGTGTTTCTGAAAAAGTTGGTCTGAAAATTAGGAGTGCCTTTTGCGAAATTTTCTTCAGTTCATTTAGTCTGAATTTTCAGAAATTTTTTTTAACAGTGTTAGAGACAAGCTTAACCGAGGGCTGAACATTGCTGACTAGTTTCCACACTGCAAATCCAAGTGTAGGACAGGTCGACACTTTAAGGCGTAGACCAGTTTGTCCTACGCTTACAAGTGTCGACCAGCTGTGTCCGACGCAGGGTTCGGAAAGTTACTCAAATTTTTGTAACTAGTACCGTTACAGTTACTTGTCCCAAAATTTTTACTAGTTACTGTTACCGTTACTTTCGTCCGGAAAAGTAACTAGTATCGTTACTGTTACCGAAAAATTTGTAACTAGTTACTTTTACTGTTACTTTTTGGCAGAGTAGAGAAGTTCAATGCATAAAAACGCCCCCCCTCCCCCGGTCACTTTTCCAAGCTGATCGGGTTCAACAAACGTCGTCTCTTCATTGCTTCTGCGACCAAGGTCAAGTGCACAGCCTCGCCCATTACGACCGTACTTTCACGCCATCTTTTCATAATTGACCTGCCGCGCCGATTCCCAAACATGTGAGCCCCCGACCTGCCCGTCTCCTGCGTTTGTCTATTCAGGCCAGGCAGTTGCAGTGGGAGAGAGACAGGATGCCGCGCTCCGTCCTTTATGCCATTCTCGGGACCAATAAACCAGGAAGGTTGACCGGCAAGGACTATGGCGTCCGGAACGAATTGTCGCACCCTCTCTCCCTGACAACACACGTGGGGACAACACAAAGTCAATCCGAGAAAAATATCTCATCAGCGCCGAGTTTTGCCTCACGTGTGCGCGAGAAGAAAAGGGAAAATGGTGGAGCCGGCGAGCGAAATGTAACTGTAACGAACAACTAGTACTTTACCGGCAAATTTGTAACTAGTACCGATACAGTTACCGAGCCTGAGAAAAGTAACTAGTTACTAGTATCGTTACTCAAAAGAGTAACTAGTACCGGTATTGTAACTAGTTACTACCTGTAACTTTCCGAACCCTGGTCCGACGCTCTGAAGTGTCGACCACACTCAGTCCGACGCCTGCATGTGTACGACACTGTTTGTCCTAACACTGAGTTTCCTATTGTGGCCCCATACTTCGGCCGTCGGACATGCTGAGTTCGACACTAGCAAGCGTAGGACACAAGTAGTCCACACTTGCAAGCGTAGGACAAACTGGTCTACGCTTTAAAGTGTCGACCTGTCGAAACTTGAATTTGCAGTGCACGTTCAACCGTTTACTCATTTGCCCCTATTCTACAGGGTCATTTTGCAAGCTTCTTGATGTCCCTCCCCCAAGCTGAAACGCGCATAATTCGCTTCAGCTGTACTTACCCTACAGTACAGCACATTGCGTGACATTGACTTAACGTGTAAAACGAAACCTTATCTAGTCGAGGACTCTACCGTGTCCTCGCGTGATCATAGAGGAGCGGATTAAATAAATTGCGCCATATGGATACTTCCACCAGCGCTGAGAAAAAAAGGACTAACAAAATATCCGGGTACTTTATTACCTTAAAGTCTCACGTTAGTAATATGTGGTGAAGTCAGTTCCCAAACAAGAGTAAATATTTGTCCAAATTAGGTTCTGTCCAGCTCTCAAAATCGCCCTCTTTGAAACAAGATCCATTTGATTTCTTAGTTACGGCCGGGCGAGCCTAACGCACCACAATCTACCGTCAACGGGGGTAACTTGGGACACTTTTTCACGTTTTTTGAACGCCAGAGGCAACATTCTCAACCCCGACCATTGGATCCTAACAATGTTAAAGTTTGACCCTTTCCCCATGATTTCATGCTTGTCTGGTTCATTTGCCTGGATTACATGGTTTCCAAGCGGTCTCGAAAGAGTGTCCCAAGTTACCCCATGACCGGGGGTAACTTGGGACAGTAGGTAATTAGCTACGTTCCCATGCATCTAGTGATGTGAATGGATGTAATAAATTTAGGTCACAACATGTAAACCAAGAATTCAGGTCTAGGAACTCCTGTAGGACCGATATTGGACTATATCTAGGGCTCTACGTGGAACTCTCTTTTCTACTGGTATTTTCCAGGCATTTTCTGAAAATTTCAAAATATGGATTACCAGAAGACAAAACTGCAAAATCTCTTTCCATCATCAGCGTAAAATCCGAAGTTTAAGTTATGTCCGGGACCGGGTCAGTCAACTCCTTGGAGGCTAGGACTGCTGGAAACATGAGGAAAAGACTGTCCCAAGTTACCCCGTAAAATTTCGACTTTTCATAAATTGAAGTCTGGACCGAAGATGGGAAAACTATAGCCAACGTCCTTTTGCGAACGTTATTGTCTGTGTATGTTCTAACAACCCAGAGAGACTAATCGGCCAAATCTGCATTTCACTCCTTGCACTAGGGTCAACTTGTCAATGTTTGACGTATTTTGTCCAAAACCCTATCATGTAGTTTCCCGTTTCTCAAATACTAATTGTGGTGTTATGCACCTTTTCTACCTTTCCGCGCGTGCCCTGACGCCTCTGAAACAAAACCCTGCCGCGGGTTTGACGCTAGGAACCCCCGTCGCTGAATGGCAGCACCAACAAGCTGTACAGGGCAGACTGTCCCAAGTTACCCCCGTTGACGGTACATGTCTAACAATGAAATCTGAGCTGAATTCGGCGCAAGGATAATACGAAGCAATGTTACTCCGTAGTACGAATCTTTTCCTTTTTGTCCAAGGAAGAGGGACTTTCGTAACGCGAAAATAAACTACCTACGTATTATGCTTGCGCCTTTTCTACGTATAATGCGAAATGTCTTCATTAGACATTTTAAAGTGCAAGTAGTTTCAAACTTACCCCTCAGTTCTGCTTCGTGAGGCTTCTCGTGAGACTGGCTGAACGACAGGATACTGTAACTTGAATCAGACTACACTTGGACCGCGCCCTGGCGTAACAGCCTTGAAACTTGGCTTTTCCTCGCACCGAAGGCCTAGGCGGCCCGGCAGACTGTTTCGGATGCCCCGGAACAACAACGTCACAGATCGGAGGCCAGAAGAACGAGCGCGGCAACCTGATTGATCTTCTGACGTGCTGTATGTATTGCCCTCAGAACGGCAATATACAGAAGTATCGCCAAAATTTGGCGATACTTTTGTGTATCGCTGTTTTGAAGGCAATACTCTTCCGTAAGGCCGTTTATTGGCGATACTCAATTGTATCGCCTAAAAAGGTACCAAAAGTATTGCCTTTGGAATTGCAGTGAGGATAGACCTGTTAGGTCGTCGCCGAATAAAGAACAGAAGAAAGCCAGGAATCCCTGAGAAAGTGCCCACGAGTTCCTGGCTTCTTAATTTTTATTTCTTCACTCGGCGACGACTCAAAAGGTCTATTGGATGCCATTCGGTGAATCAATTTATCTACCAAGTCTAATGGAGCATCCCAAGACGGTTTGGGCCGAAACCATCAACAGGACTTCGCATAAGGACTGGAAAGGGTGTTGAGCAGAAATCAAGAAGTTGACGCTCTATATGCACTAGTGAAGTTTTTCCACTACGGTTAAAGTTGTCCACATGATAGTAGTGCAGTTGACTGTACCTTCTGTACCTTTCAGAATCCACTGCACCTTATGGACAATGTGACGAATTTCCTTTGAATTATGGAGGTTCTCTGGTGCAGCCCACCCCCATTAGACATTCAGAGCGCACAGGCAAGACGTCATGTAATCCAAATGAGCACTTTATAGCCGTTTTGATGGTGAAAAAATATAAACTCAATTAGGAAATTTGCTATTCTCGTTTCTTTATAGAATGGAATGTGCCTTGATTCGATTTCGGAGCATTCGCACACCTACCTCACCATCACACCCCATATGTTGTAATGTGTTAATTTTAAAAACAATTGTTGTGAGGTACAACATGTTTGACGCCTTTGTCGCAGCTGACCGGTGCCGGCGGCGGACTGGGCCGCCTGCTGGCGGAGGACTTGGCCGCGCGGGGCTGCCGCCTGGCGTGTGTGGACGTGGCCGAGGGGCCCAACGAGGAGACAGCGTCCATGGTGCGCGCCCACGGCCAGGCGAACACCACCAAGCTGCTAGCCAGGGCCTACACTGTGGACCTCAGGAACGGAGAGGACATATCGGCCCTGGTAGAGAGTGTTGTCAACGACTTCGGCCAGGTGGACATTCTGGTGCGTAAGAAGAGCTAGGCGGGGTTTGCAGGGGCTCTCGGTTTGCAAGGGCCCGTTAGTAGACTGGAAACCCGTTATTTGTAAAATACGATGAAGTTCTGACCCGAGGGGTGAATCACTGGTGTACTCATGTGTACAAATAAGCCTGTAGTCAGTGTACTCACAAGATTAAATTCAGCAAAATTCGCTAGTTTGAAGTAAGATTTGGTGGTTTTGTGTCTGAAACACTAAATAAAGCCTTTGAAACGTTTAAAAATGTGAAATTTATGAGTTTTCTAAGGTGTACTCACCCGTACTCATGTACTCATGTGTACACCAGAACGCCGAGTGATTCACCCCTCGTTCTGACCTTGCGGTGCAATGAAGCATTTTCAAGGGAAAATAGGCTTGTAAAAACGTAACCGCACACTTAAGTTGAAATTTATATGAATTTTCTTCTAAATTCATTTGGAACTCATCGAAATTCATGTGAAAAGTTCGTGACCATTTTATTCCAGATTTTACACATTTGAAAATTTTCAGTTTTAACTTATGCTTTTGACAAAAATGCAATGGCATCATTCATCTCATTGGATTTAGTTTTCCCTACAAACAGTTTCTTGTTTCTCCTGAAAAATGGTGAGAATTGAGTTATCCCCTTCTTCCGCTTCATGGTTCAACTCTGCGCAGGTGAACTGCGCTGGCCAGCTGCAGGCGGGCGCAGTGTGGGAGCTGACTGACGACCAGACGGACCAGCTTCTGGACGTGAACCTGCGCGCCTGCATCTTGCTCGTCAAGTACGCTCTACCGCACATGAGGGCGCGCGGCGAGGGCCACATCGTCACCGTCGGCTCCGTCGCCGCCATCTTCGCCACCCGCAAGATGTCCGTCTACGCCGCCAGCAAGGCGGGGCTCAGTCGTAAGAATTCACTGTAAAAAATGCCGTAGTTTCGTACGGAAAATGTACGGACGAAAATGGTACGGAAATTGAACGGAAACAAGCACGGAACGTCCGTACTTGTCCCATAAGAACTCATGTAATCGGGTACGGAAAAAAAGAGTATAGAAGTTCTGTAGTAGGACAGGTACGGACGGTCTAGGCAAATTATTGACCAGACATCCGTACTTTTTTCGTACCTTTGTCTCGCAGTGAACAGTGGCGGATCCAGAGCCGGCCTGAGGAGGTGGGGATTGCAATGGCCATTTCTCTCCCCTTCCCTGGATGATGAAACAATGTCAAACTCGAAATAAAAAATCAAGTGGGCAATATTGGCAAATGTGCAGTTTTTTCTATCATTTTTAACCTCCTGTTAAGAACTTTATTACGAATGTCGGTGCGTATGCTTCAGAAAAACGACAGGCACGATGTTATAATGTGAATTTTTGACGACTGTTTCAAAACGACATTTTCCCTTTCTGCATTGAATTGGGGTAGCACGACAAAACAAGGCCAGCAAAATCATGTGATATCACTGCACACATTATTTTAGCCGAAGATATGAATTTTTTCTCCAATCGGTCAAACGCATCTGAAAAAAGATAGCTCACAAGCAGACCCTTTGGTTTTAATATTGAACGAGAAAAGCATAACTATTCAAACGGCTATCTTCAACATTAGAAGAACGGTAGAATCTTTGATTGAAGGTAACCGTGCTACGGCAAACCGACGGGTACGGTCCACGAATAGAAGTTCATCCCCTGGGAGATCTCCTGGAACCTCCAGGAATATTAGTTCATTCCCTTCTGGAACCTCCAGGAATATTAGTTCATTCCCTTCTGGAACCTCCAGGAATATTAGTTCATTCCCTTCTGGAACCTCCAGGAATATTAGTTCATTCCCTTCTGGAACCTCCAGGAATATTAGTTCATTCCCAGGAGATGGTTTCGCCGTGTTCCCCATGACACGTGTTGCAGGGTTCATGCAGTGCCTGTACTTCGACCTCCGGCGAGACGGGCTCGGCGACAAGATTCACGTCACTACGATTGAGCCGTACCTCATCAACACCTTACCGCACTTGGAGGCATCCTTCAAGTCCAGGCGGTACGTGACTGCTATGCACTCTTAAAAGCGTACGGAGCTTTTGCTTCGTAACTACGAAGAAAATGGAGGCGTTGTAGAATTGGATCGTATGAAATGCTTCGTATTGCGATGGATTTTGCTTCATAATACGAAGCATTTCTTCGTAGATTTTACAATGCCTTCATTTTCTTCGTATTACGAAGCGATTCTTCGTAGAGTTTTTACTGTGTGGCCATACCGTTGCAATGGTCCACAGAAGTTAGGTTTTACTACCCATGACGTGTCTAATTCGACATTCTTACACTCGATGTAAGAGATCAATTCCATCGTCGGAAATAAGTTGCTTCGACGCAGTTGACGAGGTTACAATTCAAGGGGACACATCACTCCAAAATGGTCAAAAATTGTATTTCTTTTATTAGAGTACATAATAGATCGTTCTTTTCTGCATCGAATGGTGAAAACCGCATTCCGAAATTCAAATAAATGCAGCGTCAGGAGGTTGTGTGCGGCAACAATGCGTAGGGGAAAAAAACCAGTTTCCCCAACTTCGATCGCGTTTTTCTCGGAACATGTGCAAACTGTTACCGGACTTTAGGGCGCAGTTTTTGAGCTACAGCGGTGACATTTAGCGTGGTGGCTGGTGGCTCCTACGCCATGCCGCTTTGGTGGGTAGCAAAATAATTTGAATTGGTCAATTTTTATCATCTATAAGCGTTCAAAATTGAACTATTTTGTTACAAAAATTTTGATAATTGACAAAGACAACTGAAAATGATTTTTAAAATCTGATTGAGGTCCTCGCCATAGCCAGATATCTCAGGAAGGCTGTCGCCAAGTTTCGTTGTTCTAGGTCGAACCGTTTTGCGTCCAGCGCTGCAACAGTGTGGACAGGTCTTGCAACACTTCAATATGTGTTCATGCCCATAGCGCTGAACTGTCCTGGCTGTGTTGTTTTATACTTTGTGTTTTAATATAATTTGTTTCTTTCCGTTTGGTTTTAAAGACGTTCCGTCAAAAGCACTGCTTTTGGAGTGATGTACCCCTTTTAATTGCCGGATGTAGTAAATGCAAAACATTTTTCCAGTTGGCTTGAAAATTTGCGCGCAAACGTTTAGTGTTCACACCCTATGGATTTCTATGAAGTTCCTGGGAAAACCAGGAAACGGTTTTACCGTGTACGCTCTTTTACGCTTTTCGTTCTTCTTTCCGTAACATTAATTTAGACTCAACTCTGCACGCAAGTGGATAGCATTGAGACACGATTTGCATTCGACAGGCCGGTCGCCAAGCTGCTGCTGGGATACCTGGAGGCCAAAGCCACGGCGCGGACCATTTGCCACTGCATCGCGACTCGCCAGCACCTGGTCACACTGCCCGCCCACCTGGGTGTGCTAGCCAACATCCTCCGGTGGGTGCTGTGCACGATCGCATGTTCTTTCGGTATCATATTCGCGAAACCTAAGCAGAACAGGAATTATTGGCTACACTGATAAAACTTACGCGTAACTCAATGCTTGAGTCAAACATAAAGTTACGCTTGAAATGAAGCATACTCTGGAAATTCCCCCCATGCATTTGATCCAGGAAGCGGAAGAAGGGGTTAAGTCGAGTTGATTCAGTGACCTCTTATCAGTCTATCAAGTAAACATGAGTGAAAATTTGGTCCAAAAATAAGTGTGGTGCGATAAGTCCCATCCTCTTGCATCTATTTTTAGATGACATTCCCCACTTGTTCTCCCACCTGCAAGGTTAAGGCCTTGCAAAAGTGCACGGTTTCAACTCGACTTACCCCCTTCTTCCGCTTCCTGGATCATTTAAAAAGGGGGAATCTTGGCGGACGAGCGTGTTACGCTTGATTTCAAGCGTAACCGGATTACGCTTGAAAACACAGGGTAATACTACGCCCGAGTTTTACCAGGGTGGGTACGTCAATCAAACTCAGCAATAGATAAAGAATCAACATATCACTGCAAAGCCTCACTGAATTGGTCACCACCATCACCCTTTAAATGGGTGATGCAACTTCGTTGCCCAAATTTTGGTGACGAAAAATTCATCCCCCGAAATTTGGTAACAGGCGTTTGGTCGCCCAAATTTGGGTAACGCCGTCGGCGACGCCGTGAGGTTCCCGATGACGTCCTTCCGGGGCCACCAGGATGACCGGAGGCCTCAACGCCACATTGGGTCATCGTGGTGGCCCCGGAAGAGCGTCATCGGGGACCTTACGGCGTCGCCGACGACGTTACCCAAATTTGGGCGACGATTTTATGACTGCCCAAAATTTGGTCACCGCTGGCTCGTCACCCAAATTTGGGCAACGGTGCGTGCGTTACCCAATGAAAGGGTGATGGTGGTGACTCTATCATTCTCAGTGCTGTGGGAAGTTGGCTTGCCACAAATTTGGCAAACCGTTTTGAATGCCAAAATTTGGCAAGGTTTGGTCGGAAATCTTCATGAAAGCTTGCCAAATTTTGGCCAGCTGAGGAGTATTTCGGGCCAAAATGGCATGCCATTTTATGGCATTCAAAACAGCTTGCCAAATTTGTGGCAAGTAAACTTACCATTGGCTTTGCAGTGACTATCGTTATGATGTGGTGAGCTCTTTTTATGCACTACAAAGCCCACTGTGTACTTGCCAAGTGCATATCTGTGGGAGTGTACTTTTGCGGCGAGGAGTATTACCAAGAGTACCGTAGCCCCCTTGTCAGTATTCTCCGTAGGCTCTTACAGTATTGTCCGTAGGACCGCACAGTATTCTCCGTAGGACTATACAGTCTTCCAGGCCCTACGGAGAACATTGATAAGAGGGCTACCGAGGGCTACGGAGAATCCTGGCCAAAAAATTAACAGAACTTTCCGTACCTCTTTGCCACAGTGAGAAAAGCACTGGAATTCGGCTTGCACACTGAAAACCTTCCAAACTATTTAGGCCTTTCACAGAAAAACAGCTTGTGATGTCAAAGAATTTGGAGCATACGTAAGCTTACAAAGAAAATTCTTAGTAATTTACGAACTATTCCTTATATAACAAGGCAAATTAGTTTGTCCTATGTAGGCTCAAAATACTTCCTACGGTTTGGAGCGTGCAGTTCGCACTGAATGTCATGGGACTTCATTTGTCCCATGAATGATGCAATTTTAGGCACATCCGGTGGTGATGCAATTGTGTGTACGCGAGGCGGGACAAAATGTCGAGCGAAAGTAAAATTAGCAGCAGGCGTCGTACAAACCGTGTCACCAGACGGGAACAAAATTGTAACAGCGTCGGATGTGCTTAAAATTGCATGAATCGTGGGACAAAAAAAAGTTCCATGACATTTGATCCAGGAAGCGGAAGAAGGGGGGTAAGTCGAGTTGAAACCGTGCACTTTTGCAAGGCCTTAACCTTGCAGGTGGGAGAACAGGTGGGGAATGTCATCTAAAATTAGATGCAAGAGGATGGGACTTATCGCACCCCACTTATTTTTGGACCAAATTTTCACTCACGATTACTTGATAGACTGATAAGAGGTCACTGAATCAACTCGACTAAACCCCTTCTTCAGCTTCCTGGATCATTTAGTGTGTTTGTGACTTGCGTCATTTCCACAGCCACACGCCGTGGACGGTCCAGGCGTACGTGCTGGAGAAACTCGCCCGACCGGACAAGCGGCCGCCGTACCCCTACCACGCCCGCCACGCGAGCTTGGACGCGGCCCTCATGTACGAGCTGCTGTCCAAGGGCTACGACCTCCACGAGGACCCCGAGGCCGTCTGCAGGGCGCTGCGCGCCGAGAACCTCGCCAAGGGCATCGCCCTCCCCCACGACTATTCACCGTTCCGCCAGTCGATCCGAAAGTTCTACTCGAGCCGCGGCCAGAGCGTGCCGGACGCCGTGAAGAGCGTGTTCGCATTGTGAATGGCTCGACATTTCTTTCTGCGTGATGCACAGTGAATATTCTCCATATTATGGTGAAATTGTCCCCTACTATGGTGTTGCTGCTGACTTCATAACGTACCATAGAGAATTCACTGTACCTTTACAGATATTTTGACGAATTTCGTTCGTATTATGGAGAAAATCTCCACCATAATATGTTGGTGCAGTATTTCACCGTGAGACATTTACAGTGTTCAAGATCGTGAAATGGAAACAAATACAAACTTTATTTGACTTTTAAGTGGGCGATTTATTTTGCACTACCAATTTTCTACTGAGAAATGCCGTGCAGTCGTATAACTGAGCTAATTCACAGTACTTTACGACACAAATCTCTCATAATACAGAGAAATTTGTTGGTGATATGAAGAAGTTTTTTTTAATGGACGGGTGTCCTATGGTATCTTAAACTAAAACAGCTTGATAATTTAACAAACAAAAAGAAAATGCGCAAATTTAACAATTAGAAGCGCTAGTATTTTGATGAAATGCATACAAATAACATTGACATGACGCCAAGGTTGAAGCAGGGTGATCGATCCGACTGTGATAATTATATGTCATGACCAAACATAGTTAGAAATGTACAAGGTCGTACAAACGCTGCAGTCATCTTGCTGTCGCCGTCAGTGCGATTCGATAGGACCTCCATAGGGGAGGGGGGGTTTGCTTCGAAACGTACATCATTTATCCCTCCCTTTCTTTGGCTCTGTACAACCACGGAAAGGGTTTTTCGACTCCGGTTAAGAATGCTTCAGATATGTTGACGACTTCCTCAGACAGACAGACGAAAACCGACAGAATTGAGTCGGGGGTATGAACACTGCAAAAAATCAGTGTCTGATACGGAGCATGCTACGGCGTTCCGTATACCCCTCTGAAATGGTGATTCGGACATATGCCGTACCACTCCTTCCATAAGAGCCTGTGCTTTGTAAAGCGTGGCACGGAAATTTAACGGAAAGTGTACCGCTAATTTTAGACCGGAGGTTGCCGTTTCGGTTTGTGAAAAAGTCCGAAATGCTCTACGGACCGTGAGGAACAGTCGCTCCGTAACGCAAAGTACTCTGACGGAACGCATGAAACGGTCACGCCGTAGGGATTCGGACTGGTCGTTACACGTTATCCGTTACAGAAATTTGAGTTACGGAGCGTCCGTTCCTCACTGTCCGTAGAGCATTTTGGACTTTTTCACAAACGGAAAACCGAAACGGCAACCTCCGGTCTAAAATTAGCGGTACATTTTCCGTTAAATTTCCGTGCCACGCTTTACAAAGCACAGGCTCTTATGGAAGGAGTGGTACGGCAGATGTCCGTATCACCATTTCAGGGGGTATACGGAACGCCGTAGCATGCTCCGTATCTGACACTGATTTTTTGCAGTGCACGTGTACGAGTTGAATAGGCCGCAAATTTTAAACTCCGTAACTGTCCTTTAACCCGATTCACAGTTTAAAAGGCTCCGATCTCACTTTTTTAATCGACTTCTAAGTTTAATCTCAGCTGTTTTCTTGAAGAGGAAGTATTGGTCTTCTTATTGTCTGAGACGGTTTGCATGTAGTGGCACCCCTTCTACCAGCAATTGTGCCCTGATTTTTGTCCCTCGCTTTTTGACCCTGTTTTTGGCCCTCCGTTTCCGTTAACAAATTACGCTCTCATTCCAGGAACGTTGTAACGAACGTGATAAACTATCACGTTCGTTTGAACGTTGTGTCACATTCCTGGAATGAGAGTGTAGCAGCTGGAGGGCCGAAAACGAAAATTTCAATGCTGTTCTTCGCACTGACTGATTTTGTGGCCAATATTTGGCCGGAGAATTTACTGTGTCGCTTGTCCAAACTATTTTAGACCTTTCACAGAAAAAACAGCTTGTCATGTCAAAGAATTGGAGCATACGTAAGCTTACAAAGAAAATTCTTAGTAATTACGAACTATTCCTTCATGTAACAAGGCAAATTAGCTTGTCTTATGTGGCTCAAAATACTTCCTACGGTTAGGAGCGTGCAGTTCGCACTGATGTCATGGGACTTCATTTGTCTCATGATGATGAAATTTTAGGCACATCCGTGGTGTGATGCAGTTGTGGTACACGGCGGGGACAAATTGTCTAGCGAAAGTAAAATTGCAGCAGCGTGTCACCAGACGGGAACAAAATTGTAACAGCGTCGGATGCGCTTAAAATTGCATGAATCGTGGGACAAAAAAAGTTCATGACATTTGATCCAGGAAGCGGAAGAAGGGGGTAAGTCGAGTTGAAACCGTGCACTTTTGCAAGGCATTAACCTTGCAGGTGGGAGAACAGTGGGGAATGTCATCTAAAAATAGATGCAAGAGGATGGGACTTATCGCACCCCACTTATTTTTGGACCAAATTTTCACTCATGATTACTGATAGACTGATAAGAGGTCACTGAAATCAATCGACTAAACCCCTTCTTCCGCTTGGATCATTTTAGTGTGTTTGTGACTTGCGTCATTTCCACAGCCACACGCCGTGGACGGTCCAGGCGTACGTGCTGGAGAAACTCGCCCGACCGGACAAGCGGCCGCCGTACCCCTACCACGCCCGCCACGCGAGCTTGGACGCGGCCCTCATGTACGAGCTGCTGTCCAAGGGCTACGACCTCCACGAGGACCCGAGGCCGTCTGCAGGGCGCTGCGCGCCGAGAACCTCGCCAAGGGCATCGCCCTCCCCCACGACTATCACCGTTCCGCCAGTCGATCCGAAAGTTCTACTCGAGCCGCGGCCAGAGCGTGCCGGACGCCGTGAAGAGCGTGTTCGCAATGTGAATGGTTCGCCATTTCTTTCTGCGTGATGCCCCACGGTAAAAAACGGAACCTGGTTTTCCCAGGAGCCTATGAACGAAGGCATATGCGATTCCAGCACTGTGCGAAAAAAACACAGTGACTCCCGTTTATTTTTTGCGGGATTACTGTAGTCAGACACAGATTTATTGTGCCTGGTACAGTATTTACTGTACCTGGTACAGGATATTCCGTACTCCACTCCTGTGGTACAGTAAATCCCGTACAAAGTACAGTGGATCTCGTTCAAAAGTACAGTAAATCCTGTACTCTGAACTACAGTAACAGCTGTACTAATCACTACAGGATTACTGTGATTTTTTCCCACAGTGAGGGGTTCCTGGGAAAACCAGGAACCGTTTTTACCGTACAGTGAAGATTCTCCATATTATGGTGAAAATGTTCCATATTATGGTGGTGCAGCTGACTTTCGTATTATACCATTGAGAATTCATTGTACCTTTGTGGATATTATGACAAATTTCGTTGGTATTATGGAGAAAATCCCCAGCATAATATGTTGGTGCAGCATTTCACCGTGAGACATTTACAGTGTTCAAGATCGTGAAATGGAAACAAATACAAACTTTATTTGACTTTTAAGTGGGCGATTTATTTTGCACTACCAATTTTCTACTGAGAATGCCGTGCAGTCGTATAACTGAGCTAATTCACAGTACTTTACGACACAAATCTCTCATAATACAGAGAAATTTGTTGGTGATATGAAGGTTTTTTTTTAATGGACGGGTGTCCTATGGTATCTTAAACTAAAACAGCTTGATATTTAACAAACAAAAAGAAAAAGCGCAAATTTAACAATTAGAAGCGCTAGTATTTTGATGAAATGCATACAAATAACATTGACATGACGCCAAGGTTGAAGCAGGGTGATCGATCCGACTGTGATAATCATATGTCATGACCAACAGTTAGAAATTACAAGGTCGTACAAACGCTGCGGTCATCTTGCTGTCGTCGTCAGTGCGATTCGATAGGACCTCCATAGGGGAGGGGTGGTTTGCTTCGAAACGTACACGCTTATCATCTTACGTTGGTTTTCGTGCGTAATACGATGATTTTCCATCGTAAGGTACGACCAATTCCAACCTGCATAATACGCACGAATGTCAACGTAAGGTACGCAGGATTTTCAACGTATTACGCACGTGTCAACGTAAGGTACGTTGGTTTGCGATTGTAGTACGATGACATTTCAGCGTATACGCATGTTTGATTTCACCGCATGTTATGTACGTAACGTTCGCGTTACCATCGTAAGAGTGTACATCATTTATCCTCCCTTTCTTGGGCTCTGTACAACCCACAGAAAAGGGTTTTCGACTCCGGTTAAGAATGCTTCAGATATGTGACGACTTCCTCAGACAGACAGACGAAAACCGACAGAATTGAGTCGGGGGTATGAACACTGCAAAAAATCAGTGTCTGATACGGAGCATGCTACGGCGTTCCGTATACCCTCTGAAATAGTGTGATTCGGACATATGCCGTACCACTCCTTCCATAAGAGCCTATGCTTGGTAAAGCGTGGCACGGAAATTTAACGGAAAGTGTACCGCTAATTTTAGACCGGAGGTTGCCGTTTCGGTTTGTGAAAAAGTCCGAAATGCTCTACGGACCGTGAGGAACAGTCGCTCCGTAACGCAAAGTACTCTGACGGAACGCATGAAACGGTCACGCCGTAGGATACACTGTGGCAAAAAGCTACGGAAAATTCTGTAAACAGCTTGTGGTAATTCTCCGTAGGCCCCTTATCAATATTCTCCGTAGGCTCTTACAGTATTTTCTGTAGGACCGCACAGTATTCTCCGTAGGACCGCACAGTGATCTCCGTAGGACTATACAGTCTTCGAGGTCTACGGAGAAGACTGTGCGGATTTACAGAGGAATACTGTGCGGCCCTACGGAGAATACTGTAAGAGCCTACGGAGAATATTGATAGAGGGCTACGGAGAATCCTGAGCAAAAAAATTAACAGGATTTCCGTACGTTTTTGCCACAGTGTACGGACTGGCGTTACACGTTATCCGTTACAGAATTTGAGTTACGGAGCGTCCGTTCCTCACTGTCCGTAGAGCATTTTGGCTTTTACACAAACGGAAAACCGAAACGGCTACCTCCGGTCTAAAATTAGCGGTACATTTTCCGTTAAATTTCCGTGCCACGCTTTACAAAGCATAGGCTCTTATGGGAGGAGTGGTACGGCAGATGTCCGTATCACCATTTCAGGGGGTATACGGAACGCCGTAGCAGGCTCCGTATCTGACACTGATTTTTTGCAGTGCACGTATACGAGTTGAATAGCCGCAAATTTTAAACCGACGTACTGTCCTTTTGACCGATTCACAGTTTTAAAAGGCTCCGATCTCACTTATTAATCGACTTCTAAGTTTGATCTCAGCTGTTTTCTTGAAG